AGAGCGCAAGTCCATCAAGTATGTTCTGGGGACTAACTGACAGAGTCCATTTGGCAGTCTTTGGAGTGGACTAGAGTTGGCAAAGGAGGAGAAGGCACATATCAAGGAGGGGAACAGCACTGCTGAGTCATTATGGCCTGACTCGGCATAAAATCAGGCCCTATGAACAGCCCAATCGGAGTGGCAGATCTGCGTTAATGAGTAGTCAGACATTGGTAGGGGCATTTGTCTCTACAGCCTTGCCAGTGGCTAGAATATTGCAATATTGGTGTATCGGTTGTTAAATATTTTGAACAAATAACCTGAATGCCAGATTATACAGAGTCCTAAAAATGTGGCAGAGGCACTGCTGGAGTTAGCAGGAAAGTGGAAAGTATACAATGACATCTCCAAGGGGCTTAAACAGAGGAATGTGGTTGCAAAGGTATTTCAGGAAGGCCTTTTTGAAGGTCTGGATCTTTTGCCTATCCTACCAGAAAGGGCAAAGGGGGTGGAGTTTCCTAATGCTGTGCCTGGCTTAGTTATTTTTTCCATCAGCACTTCATGATAAATGGCTAGCTGGTCACTTCAGGGCAGAGAGGTCTGGTTATTTAGACAGATACAGCCTGGTCTCTCACCTACCTTCAGCTATCCAGACTGAAGTGACCATGGCTTTTGAGGTTTTCTGACTATACTCGCTGATTTTTATCCACCCATTAGTTTCTTGGAAAGTGCTCTTAAGTCTCCTGTCCCTTGCCAGGAACATATCCTCCAAGGCATGAACAGTGATCTGGCAGTTAGATATCAAGATAAGGTCAGAGAAGTGTCCATTAGGGTTAGCTCTTGGGGAAGATCATTGACACCTGAGCAAGGGCAGGCTTCTTTAGCAAGCAGTGGTGACAGAGGTCACATGTCTTAGAATGAGGAGCAAATATGAGATGAAATGGAAGGAATGCAGAAAAGCCCTTCAAAAAGCCTGGCTGGAAGGCAGGGCCAGTGATAGGCCCACAGCCAGAGGCAGCCTGCAAGGTGGAGTGGGGAACCCTTTATAAAAGTTAGGCTTCAGCCTGGATCCATGTCCTTATAACCTGACTTGAGCACTGGTCCCTTTTGCCACCTAAAACTGAGGCCACTGATCTCTTACCTGTTACCTTTTTAGGGGTTGGAATTGTGACCATAACGCCAACCTTGACAGTGGGACCCTGCTACCCACTGAGATAAGCACCTGCACCCAGCCTGCCACATGCCTGGATTTCTCAGTACTCTCTATGGATTACCTGTTACAGGGCTGTGCTCTGCGACAGCCCCACTACCAGTGGGCTATTTCATGCCTTCATTGTGTCTTGCCAACTGTATGTCTGGATTTTGACTGGAGACTTTGACAACTGGAGTGATCTAACTGAATTCTAATGGTCAATTCTTGGCTCCTATTTCACCCAATAGCTGAGGAAGCAGGGCCCCATGTCCATGCTTCTACTTCCATTCCTCTGTAAACAACCTGCCATAATCTGCCAGTTCTTGAGATTGTCAGTGATATTTTGAACCAAGCATGAGTGAAGTGAGTGCAGCCAACAGTGAGTGAGTACCTGTGGGGGTACAGACCAGTGCAGTTATCTCAGACAATTATTCAACTGGAAACTTTGGACTGTATTCACCAATCTCTAGGTCAGCTTCTCAACAGTACACAACAGCAAACAAGCAAATCAAGAATGCAAGGTTGCTTGAGAACTGGATACGTTAAGAATCTGAGATAGAGCCTAGTTATCAGACACCAACACGACCAATGTAAAGATAGGCCACGTGTCCGAGAAAACAACAGTTCCAGAGTTATCTGAATTAGATTAAAATGTGGGCAAAAGTCTGAGGAAGACTTTTGTGGGGAAGACAACTTAGAAGCACAACTAGCTGTGAACATACAGTGAAGGGAAGGGAAATGGACACATAAGTAAATGAAAACCCCAGGTCCCTAGACAATTTTCAGATACTGGAGATGGTCAGATGCAGCAAATTAGAGCTGGTTGCTCGGGCAGTGAATTCCCTCCGAGATGAAGACTGATCAATTCAAGTTCATTGTCTGGTCATGCATATTAATAGTGACAAACTTTCCGTAACTTACTTTTATAAAATCTCTCTCACAAAAGGCAGCTCTGGAGTGTTTACAATACAGCCTTCATGCTTGGAAACGTGTGCTAGTGATACCAGAATGAAGCTTCCTTTGTAATGGATAAAGCTGAGCACTTTTATTTTGATGAAGTATAAACTATTAGGTATGGCGGAGTTTAGAAACAGGCTGGCTGCTTCCGTTCGATCCCATCATGTTTGAAAAACATCACATCACTTAGTTCTTGGGAAGTTCTGGGTGATCTGGTTCATTTTAAAAACAACTCTAATAAGTATTTTAGTGATAAATGGCATAACATAGAATCGCAGAATGGCCAGCAAAATTAATTGGTTTTAAATATTTGAGTCTGAATATCAAAAACTGATTATTCTTTCCTGAAATAACCTCTTCCCAAAATCTCTATTTATCAAGTTAGCAAATTTGCCTTAACTTATTTCCAGCAATTCCATGTCTCAGAAGTATCATCCACTTGGTTATTTCCCAAGTTAGGAAAAAAAGCATTTTTTTCCAATTAAAACATGATCTAAAACACCACCTTTGGCTTCACGCCAGCTCTCCCATTTATTAAGTAGGCAAGTTTCCTAACCACCTCCTCGTTTATAAAAACGGGACTGATTTCCACTTCATAGGTATGTGGTAGGAATGACAAGGGGCAATGTTTGTGAAATACTTACTCTGGAGCCCAGCAGCACAGAACCTGATAGCAACACAGAACACTCCTCCATACAGGGGAGTGATAATTACTAACTTTTTCTAGAACATTCTAACATGGAGCTATACAGAGAAAAATGACCATACACAGAACCTTGGGGTAGTGTATGCACACCAGTGTGAGAACTTTAAACATGTGCCTCTGAAAGACAGTCAGATATGGTCATGGGGAGGAAGTAGGAGATAAGTCTGGATACAAAGGAATGGGGTGGAGAGGGGAATACAAGAATGTGTGGGGGTGGAAAGCATGAATAGGATGCTTTTCAGGGATATCAGAGGCACATTCCCCAAATCTCTCTTCCACTTGTCCTTTACTCCTGGAGTAAACAAGGACCTTCCTGGAAAAGCTAACACTTGAAGCTACAACAACCATTTGTATATTAGTCTGAGTAAGCTCCAGGTTGTTTTCTGAGAGACTGATGGGTGACACTTGGAGGCTCTGTGCACCTGGGGACAAGGTGGAGAGAAAGTGAAAAGAACTGGAACTCTGAAGGCACAAGTTTAGAGTGACTCACCTATATGTGGGGTGCACATGATGTACCCATGCTGGTGAGGGGGACACATGACATGCCTCCAACACTGCTATGGGGCTAAATTCAGGATTCACCTAATTCAATGCTGCCCATGACTCCCACTCCTTATCCACAGAACCTGCCACTGCCAGTCTTAAGCTATGTGTGGGTTGCAGGGGGGAAGGGGAACAGAGTTTTTTATTTCCAGCCCTAAATCCATACAGAATCTCTCTCAATGAAATAATAATAGCAATTAACATTTACTCATTCCTTTCATACACAAATTTATCGAGTTTTGGCTGGGAGGAAGGTAACAAAAAATTAACAATCAAACATATAGGGTGGCTGATGGCACTAGTGCTATGTAAAAGAATAAAGCCAGGGGAGGATAAGAAGGGGGTAGACAGGAGGAAGGGTGGCTGGCTCCTGGACACAAGAGGCCAGGGCTGACCTCCCTGAAAGGGGAGCACAGGGGGCAGAGGCATATGCTGGGGAGGGCAGGGGTTCAGCCTGGTGAGGGCCAGGAGAGTAGCGGGAGGAGAAGTCAGAGAGGCAACAGGTCCATGGCCCAGACGGCGTGAGTGTCAGGTAAGGAGCTTGACATTTGCTTTGAATCAGAGAGAAAGCCGCAGGAATTTTGCACCAAGGACTAACATGATATTGAAAAGAGATTGTAGAAGAGAAGAGCAGGTATGGAAAAATATAGATTGTACCAACAATCCAGAGGACAGAAAGGACCAGGACAGGAGATAGCAGAAATTGTTTAGATTTTAGATTTTCCTGAAGGAATTGTTAATAGGACTTGTTGACAGACTTGATGTGAGAATTAAGAGAAAGATGGAAGTTGAGGATGACACCTAGATCTTTGGCTAAGTGAACCAAAGTATGGAAGTGCTATTTTAACATAAGAAAGTTTCATCTCAACAGGTATGGATGTGTGAATATGAGGGAAAATGGAATACAGAGGGAGGTGGAGGAATTAGATTTAGGATATGTCAAATTTAAGAATCTAAGAGACATCTAAGTAACAATGTTAAGCACAGAAATGGTCTCAATGTCAAGCTAGAATTCCAGCTGAAGAGAGAATTCTGGGAATGAATAGGGTAGCCAGGGAATTTAAGGTTGTGAGACTGGATAAAAGCATTCAAGAAGTGCATGATAAACAGAGGTGGTCTCTCACGATGTCAATGAATTATCATTAAATAAATAGGCTTTTTAGGCAATCCAGCCAGGAAAACTTACAGAAAAATTGTTAACTTTATCCAGAGCATACTTCATAAAAGGAATACTGAAGTCCCTATTATTTTTACCTATAACACATACCAGTCCACATTACTATTTTCTTAAGTTTTAAAAGAACAAAAAAAAAAAACAATTCCACTCTCCCCTTGTTGAACCAAGTGTTCCCCTACCTCTGAAAGCATTTGGGTGAAGATCAGAAAAAGACTCAGACAAAACATGGCCCCTGGAAACAGCATCTTGTCATGTTTATACCAGGAAGTCCATCCTTTGAAGTATCTTCCCCAGCTTTCTTAGATAAGATGTTTTTCTACCCAAAACAATAAACCACTCCTCAGATATCTGCTACTGGAAGAGAGTGAAACAAACTTCAACTACCTGCATAGGTTGGGTTATTTTTGCTTTCATGTTAGTTTGTTTTCAACTCTGCTTCTTACCTGGATCCACATCAGAAGAACAAGGAAAAGAAAAGGATTCCACAGAGCTAAAAGCCCCACTGTTGGCATCCTGGCTGGGTCTTTGCAGCACATAATCTCTTATGTCATAAGCTGATGGCAGGTCCAAAGTACCACTCTCTTCTGGCTGGCTGCCTGGAGTGGCTTCCTGGGCAGCCATAGTCCTGCCATGGAAAACAAATACTCTCAGCACAGGAACCATGAACAATCAGGATCGTAAGCTGTAAGTCCGATAAGGGTAAAAAACTGTGCAGTACTAGAATTCCAGGGCTACAAGAATGTTTAATGCGAAGGGAGACTATTCATGATCTATTAAATGGGAAAACATTCATAAAAGGAATACTGAAGTCCCTATTATTTTTACCTATAACACATACCAGTCCACATTACTATTTTCTTAAGTTTTAAAAGAACAAAAAAAAAAAAAACAATTCCACTCTCCCCTTGTTGAACCAAGTGTTCCCCTACCTCTGAAAGCATTTGGGTGAAGATCAGAAAAAGACTCAGACAAAACATGGCCCCTGGAAACAGCATCTTGTCATGTTTATACCAGGAAGTCCATCCTGATCAAATCCAGGATTTGATCCAGACTTTATAAAAGAAAATACCATGTGCAGGACATGTGAGTATGAAAAATACAGACATACAGGTAGAAAAAACAAGTCTAGAAGAGTATACCCAAATTAATTTCAGTGATTAATTAAGGGGTTTAATTTCTAGGAAGTGAGATGATATGTAATTTGCATTTTCTTCTGTGGTCTACTCAAACATGCATTCAGTCAACTACTTAGCAAGCCAGACAAAGGTGAATGTGATAGAGCCTTCCTTTAAGATGCTCAGTTTGGGGCCTTCCTGGTGGCGCAAGGGGTTAAGATGCAACCTATGGAGTTATCCACAGACACTGCAGGGTGAGTTTGATCCCCATGCAGGGAGCTACCCACATGGTGTAGCAGACCTCTCCTGGCTCACCCACTGCTCCCCTCAGCAGTGTTATTTCAGTCAATCCACCTGTTCTGTTCCCCACTCTGTCTCTAGTGAATCCTCTCACTATCCCCCACACCTCTGGCCTGTACCCTGGTTCTTGTGTGTATAAATAGATAAATCTTTAAAAAAAAAGATGCTCAGTTTGGGGTGATCTAAGCATAGAGATATACCATGTCAACAAAGAACCCAGAAAAGGCAGTAGGCTTTCTGGAGGAGGTTATCCCCTGCATGGGGCAGACTAGTCCATGGTTGGGGGAGAGCATGAACACCAGAAGAAAAGCAAACCAGAGCAGCATGGGGTATCAGGAATTTATATTGAGAGTCAAGGTACAGTAACACACTGAGTTACTAAAGAGGCCAAACACTGTGGTCTTAGCCAAATGGCCATGGGGCGCTCTCCCCTTCCTATACTCACTCTAGGACAGCAAGGCTTGGCAGTTGTCAGAAACCTGGATATACAAATTCTCTAGCTGAGCTCTAGAGACTACAAGATGGCATACCAGGATCAGCATTTGAACATTTATTAAAAAGTGGGTTTTCCCTAGATCTCTTGGGTCCATGTCAATCTGTGAGTGTCAATCTCACTAGAGGGCTCTACCCTGCACCCAGCCCTGCCTACCTCTCTACAAAATAACTATAGACCTAGGAAGGTCCTGCCCCACTGCTAATCTTGGCCTCGTAAGCTGCAGACATCAAGAAATCTTATCACAGCCAGCACCACGTGTCCTGAGTACCATGGGCCACCATGCACCAGGCACAGGAGTTACACGGTTAGATCTGCGGATGTGGCAGCTGGGTAGCATGGCCTAAGTGCGGGTGGCAAGCAAACTAAGAAATAACAGAAATTCATTCGCCTGCAGTGGTTCAGGTGAGAGAGGAAGAGCAGATGAAGGCAGGGAGCAGATTAAGGGCCTATTTAGGAACAAAAATGAGAGTAGAACTCAATAACTGAACAAATAAAGGTATTAAAGAGGAACTGAGAGTCAATAAGGAGTAGCAGCTTTGGTGATGGGTTGTATTGTCAACTGAGATAGAGAAGACAGGAGGAGAAGGAATAGGTTTGGGAGGAGGCAATATTCCAAATTATGGAACTATGCAACCATTAAAGTGGCCACCAGAAACTGAAAGATCTCAAAGAAATGTGTTTGAATGAAAGAGGTAATTTCAGAATAACATAATCAGTATAAAGTGCTTGCTGAATGGCAGGCATTAATCTAAAAACTTCATTTGCAACAGCCCCGTGAAACAGGTAATCCTATTATTGCCCCATTTACAGTCACACTCAGGTCCAGATGCAGAAAAAAGTAGAGTAGCCTGCCCAAGCAAAGCCGCCTAGAAAGTAGCAAGCTAGGTATACCTGGGTCTGCACAGCCCCCTGGCTGCAGGCCAGGCTACCACCCAACAGGCAAAGATAGGAGGTGTGGAAAACCCATTCAACCCACAGGCCTGGCCAAATCCTTCTTGTTTGAGAACAAGCGGTCACATGCCGGTGTGGACATCTGCTCAGGCAGAGAATGAGCCAAGACATCAGCTGAGAGGAGAGGAGTGATCAAGGTTCCCTAAAGAAACAAGAACATCCTGTCTTTTCACAGGGCTGCATTAGCCAACCAGGCCTGAAGTTTCAGCAACACCTCTACTGCAGGCATTTGCAGCTCCTCCTCCACCTCCCCCCACCCCCTTCATGTTACCAAACACTGTTCTGGAGGTTTCTGGAAGGGAACAAACAGGTCAATGAATGTCATGGGGATATCCTGCCTGCCAGCAAAGGTGCTTTGAAATCATCTATCAACTGGGGTTATTGGAAATCTGAAATGAAAGGAATCCTTTCTGAAGCACATTGATGTGAGATCTCCTTTTTTAGAATCATCTGTATTAAATGTCAAATACATTCCAAACTGGGCATTCAACCAAAAGAGAGCAAGAGAGAAAGAAATATGCCTAGTGAAAGGCAATTTTTTTAAATTTTAACTTAAGTGTGCATCAAAACACATTATTCTGGATTCAGCAAATTTACAGAGGAGAAAACAAGTGATAGGGAGAGTTGAGGCCCTTTGTATTTGCCTGAAATCATCCAGGCTGGCAAACAGAATACAATGATTATCCTTTACCCCAAAACTTTTGGTTCAACTTCGTTCTCCACAAGAATCTATTTCCTCTCTTAAGTGTTTTAATTACATAATCCAAATATTCTTTTTTTTTTTTTTTTTTTTTTCAGATTTATTTATTTATTTATACAAGCACTGGGTACAGTCAGAAGCGCGGGAGAGCGAGAGAATTCACCAGAGCCAGAGCGAGGAACAGAACAGGCAGAGTAACGAAATACACTGCTGAGGGGAGCAGTGGGCGCGGCTGGAGAGGTCTGTGCGCCATGTGGAACCCTTGCCAGCAGCCGGGGATCGAAACAGCGCTGCAGAGGCTGCAGGCAGCTTTGTAGCCCAGCGCTCAACTGCTGCACCACCAGGGTGGTGCATATTATTTATGCATAATTTATTTATTTATCCATAATCCAAATATTCTTTTTCAATACCACAGAGTATAAAATGCTCTCGGATGAGAGGCACAAGAAGTCTCTCACTACATAAAAACCTATTTATTGAAAAAGAGGCATTTATTCTATTACTCTACGGTTTCTTACAGATCCAAAATATAAGTCAATCAGGGTCCATGTATAAGAAGTTTAATTTCATTTACGCTTTTCAGCTGAGGTCTTCTAATATTTTACATGAAAATTTCCAAACAAATAAAAGGGGGGCAGAATTATCCAACGATCATCCATTAAGTGACTGCCTACAGTTCGTATTTATATTTCATCACATTTTTTTTATTACAAAACTATCCATCTATCTGACTTTACTCATCCATTCACCTTATTTTTTTACACGTATTTTATGATGGAAATTTCTGAGCTAGGGTGTGATATGATTGATTTGCATTTTTAAATGCTAACTGTGTTAGCTGAGTGAATTACCAATAGGAGTTGGGTCAACATGAAGCAGGAAACACAGCTGGAAACTGCAAAAAAGTCCACAGATGTATAGGGTCACTAGAGTTTGAAAGACAAAGGTTTGCATCCCTGCTGTCACTTCTTAGCTGTGTCAACTTGGGCCAGCCACTTAGTCTTAGTTTCCTCATGTATAAAAACGACCTACTGAGTATACTTACCTCATACAGTCACTGTAAGAATTATATGAAATTAATGCATGTAAAATACTCAGCACAATATCTGTGCTTGATAATCACTAGCTCCAACGCACAAAACAGTAATAATTAAAAAACATATCACAGGCTCCTCTCTTCCCAGCCTACCTCCAGTCCACTGTCCCTCTCTTTTCCATTTAGTAGCCAACTTGCTCCTTTCACCCCATCTATTCCACAGTCTTGTTAACATCCTAAACTTCCCCTCCCTGCCTATTTGGACTATTCATCACAACCCTCTGGCAAAACCCAAACCTAGATGTACTCAACTGTTTACCCTCTCTCTCTCTCTCCATATGCCGGACATTAGAGTCACTATACAAGGCAAACAGACTTGGGCTTTTGCGTCAACCCGAAATGGGCTACCCAGTCAAGTGAATCCTGGGATGTTTATCAGATAACCCCCTCGCCCCTCTCTTTGACTGTCATGTTTTCATGAACATAGATGTCTTTCGAGTCATTAAAATTTTTAGTTTCTTTTGACTTTTTTTGTGGTTTTCAATGTACATGGCTTATATATTTTTCATTAAATGTATTACTAAGTATTTTATTGTTTTTAAGCTATATTCATGAAATGAAAGACTTAGTATTTGAACATGGCAATTTTGCCCAAATTGATCTACAGATCAATGCAATTCTTATAATAAAAACTCAGTTGGCTTTAAAAAAAAAAAAAGGTATATAACAAAGATGTTTCAAAAATTCATATGGAATTGAAAGGAACCCAGAATAGCCAAAACAATCTTGAAAAAGAACAAAGAGGACTTTCCAAGTTCAAAACTTCCTACAAACCACAATAATCTGGGCCTCCCTGGTGGCACAAGGGGTTAATACGCAACCTATGAAGCTATCCGCAGCCACTGAAGCACGAGTTCGATCCCAGGCCAGGGAGCTACCCACATGGTACAGCAGACCTCTCCTGACTCGCCCGCTGCTCCCCTGAACAGTGTATTTCAGTCATTCTGCCAGTTCTGTTGCCCCACTCTGTCTCTGGTGAATCCTCTCACTCCCCCCTCCACACCTCTGGCCAGTTCTTGTATGCATAAATAAAAAAACACAATAATCAAATCTAGTACTGGCACAAGGGTAGACATGTAGATAGATCAGTATGGTAGAATTGAGAGTCTAGAACATTTTGATGAATTGATCAGGGTGTGAAGACCATTCTATGGGGAGCAGATATTCTTCAACACCTATGAAATGAATATACATATAAAACAGGTGAAATGGTGCACCACTATGGGAAAGTTGGCAGCTCCTCAAAAGGTAAAACAGAGTTACTTTGACCTGGCAATTCCATAGCTAGGTTTATGATCAAGAGAAATAAAACGCATTATGTCCACAAAAGCTTTACACAAATGCTCTTATCGGCTTAATTCACAACAGACAAAAAAAGTGAAAGGAAATAATCCAAATATCCATCAGCTGATGAAAGAATGAATAAAATGTGATATATGCATACCTGGAATATTTTTCAGCAAAAAAGGAATGAAGTTCTGATACCAGCTACAACAAAGTCAAACTTGGAAAACATTATCCTCAAGAAAGAAGGCAGTGTTAAAAAAAATGAAGCAACAGGCCCCAAATGGAGTCACTTATTCATCATCAAACTGAGACTTGGTTTCAGCTCTCCCAAAAATGGAACATTAAACCAATCAATCAAAACTTATCTGACAAGCACTAGTTAAGTAATCTGCCTGACATACTCCTGACATTTCCTAAAGGAAAGAAACTCTGCAATAACCAAGGACATTTTGCTTAGTGAAACTTCCTGTTCCACTCCCTTCTGCCTATAAATATTCATGTTGTATCAGTCCCCCTATCTCCTTTCTATCTGCAGGACTGGATACTGTTCAATTCCAAACAATTTTTCCTCAAACTCTTTAAAAAATTAATATACTTCAGTTTATCTTGTAACACTAGATAGAAAGACAACATATGCTATGATTCCATTTATATCAATGTCCAAATTAATAAATCTATAGAGATAAAATACAGACTGGCCCAGGACTGCAAGATCTTGGAGAACGGTGATTGCTAATGGATATAGGGATTTTCTTTGAGGCGATGAAAATGTTCTAAAATTAGGTTGTGGTAATGGACACACAGTCCGGATAATATATGACAGACCGCTGAAATTTACACTTTAAATGGGCAAAATTTGTGAATTAAGTCACAAGGAAGTTTTTTAAAAAGTGTTAACAGCAAGTGAAGGCGTTGTCTCTCTGTCCCACCAGATAAGCTCTCCTATTAACTTTATTTGCCCTCCAGGCTTAATAAGGGAAACCAAGAAAAGGGCCTAAGCTCAGCCAGACACACTGCAAGCAAATCCTGGGCATCTCCCAAAGAGGAGGCGACACAGACCAGAGGCCCCGTGATAGAGTGGAGGAGGGGCAGAGGGCGGGGAAAATGCGAGTCTGTCAGCGCAAGCCGCCAAAACTTCCTAATTGTGAGAGAATGGTTTGCTGCTGAGAACCCTCAGCTATTCCCAATCCCCAAACTCTCCTAACTCAATAGACAACTGACGAAGAAAAGTAACCTGGTCCCGATTGCACTCACCGCCCCACAACAGGAAAGTCCTGGAATCCGGAAGTAGGGGCTCCATATTTGTTATGGGAAAAGTGAGGCTAGGAGGAAGTCTCAGAAACCATCTTTGTTGTGGTCAAACAAGGCCACTGGAAGGCAACAGTAGCCATCTTGACTAAGGGCATTTTCCCCAGCCCTTGACGTTTTCAGCATAAGGCTAATTTGAGCAATTTTTAGGACAGGGTTATTGAAAGTGATCTTGGTGAACACAAAGAGAACAGGAAAAAATATTTTTCTTTTAATGTCTACACAATCTGGCACAAACAGTACTTAAAAAGTGGCGAGAGGGTGGCGCAGGCGGTTGAACGTAGCTCTGTGAAGCTGTCCCCAGCCTCTGCAGCGGGTTCAATCCCCGCCAGCCAGGGAGATACCCACATAGCGCGGCCGACCTCTCCTGTCTGTCCGATGCTCCCCTCAGCAGTGTATTTCAGTCAGTCTGCCTGTTCTGTTTCCCACTCTGTCCCTGGCGAATCCTCTCACCCTCCACCCAGGTTCTTGTATGCATGAGTAAATAAATCTTAAAAAAAAAAAAAAAAAAGTCGTGAGAAATTAGGAAAGACTATGAAAATATTTTAATATATCTCATACATGTGGATGTTACAATCACCGAAACTGCCGGACCATCGAGGGTATTTTTCCATTTTGCCATCTTGGTGAAAGTCCTGGGCAATCAGTCTCCTGTGGGTTTCCAGGAGTCCTCCCCTGATGGCGCAGCGGTTGAGAGCTGGGCTGCGAAGCTGCCCGCAGCCTTTGCAGGGCCGGTTCGTTCGCCGGCCGCCAGCAAGGGTCCCACAAAAAAAAAAAAAAAAAGTTTAGACATCCTGTGTGTTTCTACATTGGGGTAGGACCCCCATAAATTTGAAGTCCTGAGCAGGATAAGGTAAAAGTATCAGGCTTTTCTGCCCTCCTGCCATTAGGATAGATGACGGAACCCTGAGGTCCTGAATGCATGCCTGATGGCGGGCACCTGGAGTAGGGTGTGGGCATAGGTAGATGGGATTCACCTGGGCTAAGACTGGGCTTTTAAGGGCGGTGTCACAGGGACACCAGCAGAAGCCCAGAGAGGAAGAAAAGAAGCAGAGAGAACACCAGAGACACCAGATAGAGTGAAGATTTGCCCAGCCTCCCAGCCCCCCAGCACCCCTGCCTGCCATGTTTCAAGACTCCTCCTTTACCCAGCCTGCTGGATCAGAAAACCTGCTCTGTGGTCTTCCTGCCTCTACATCCTGCAACTGAGATGAATATTTTAAATAGCACTGTAAGGGGCAGGACAGGACACAGAGCAGGTTTTCTGATCCAGCAGACTGGGTAAAGGATGAGAGAGTCCTGGAGACCTTTGCGGGCTTTCAGGCTTTTATTGGGGTTCACCAGGCATATGGCAGGCAGGGGTGCTAGGGGGCCGGGAGGCTGGCAGTCCTCCCAACCCCCAGCAAATCCTCACTCTATCTGGGCTCTCTGGCGTTCTCTCTGCTTCTCTGCTCTTCCATTCGTTCTGCTGCTTCTTGGCTTCTGCTGGCGTCCCCGTGACGCCAACCTTAAAGCCCAGTCTCAGCCCAGGTGAATCCCATCTACCTATGCCCACACCCTACTCCAGGTGCCCACCATCAGGCATGCATTTGGGACCGCAAGAATCCATCATCTATCCTGATGGCGGGAGTTCAGAAAAGCCTGACATTTTTGCTTACCCTACAAGCACTAACTGAAGTTTGAACAACTGCATGTCAGGTACGGTGAACCTCCCATAGTGAGAAATGCAGTGACCTTTTGAAGGTAAATTTAGAGATATAATTAGAAGTAAAACTTGTGAGAGAAGATTAGAGTGAGGCCGGTGATGTGGGGATGAGAGAATTCACCAGAGACACTGTGGTGAACAGAAAAGAAGGGGGTTTATTGAAATACACTGCCAAGAAAAATAGGGGAGACAGGGGAAAGGTCTGCGTGTGAAGAAGGATTTGGAGCTCCTGTTTATAACTAGTTTTCACGGGCTTTTCATGACTAGGGAGTCAGTTTGGGCCAGTTAGTGCTGAGATCTCTGGTCTTGGGTGTTGACCTTTGACACAGAATATGTCCTGGCCCTGCTTCTCTATTCAAGGTCAAAGTGATGGGTTTTAATGCCTGGTTCCTCTAGCAACCTTATCAATTCCCTTTATCTATTGGAAATTCCCAAACCTTCCTGCTGGGTAAGAGGTGGGGGCTTAGATTTTAACCTCATTAAATGATACCCTGACAAAACTCACTTTCCATCACATTCAGACAAACATAACACAGTAATTATAAATTTCATTTTCTCTCCTAACTTTTTGCATTGGTAATCAAGGTGTCTAATTTTGATTTTTACCTTTTTTTATGTAATATATATCATAAAAATATTCTTCCAAAGTAACATGATAGATTATGATTATAGAAGGCCTGGATTATATTATTTTCCTGTTCCAGAAAATGATAAAACAAAACAAAATTTTTAAAATATATTTATTTTACATGATTGTTCATTTTTGTATGTTGTTAGGTGTAATCCCCATAAAATTCTCACCACCAGCTCACCCAGGAACCTTCACTGTTGTCTCTTGTGCTCTTCCCCCCCATTTTGACCCCTTTCCCTCCCTTGCTATATGTCCCTGATTTACAGTTTGCTAGCTAGCTTTGTCTGGAAAATGATAAGTAAATATAATTGAATGAAATAATCTGGATTATTATGTTTATTATCATTCAAAATGATAAAAGATATAGCAAAAAAAAAAAATCCCAGATCATGCATTGCATTGCTAGTTTTCATGTCTCTTTTGTCTACTTTAATCCAAGTTTCTTAGTCTTTCTTTGTATTTCTTGGTGCTGACAATTTTGAAAAGTACAAGTCAATTACTTTGTATTGTAGAATGTCCCTCAGTTTGAATTTGTCTCTTTCCATCTGGTTCTCAATATCATTGAACATTGTTGATCACTGGATCATTGTTGATCACAACCCCTTGCACCACCAGGGAGGCCCTAAAGCCATTTTTTAATGGTGAAAAATTTTTATTTGAAATTTGCTAGTTTAGATGGTCCCAATTTTGTTGACAAAATCTAAACCATCATAGTAAGGAGTCAGTTGAACATATGCCTTCTTCCATCGGGTCTGATCAGAGGGTTGACCTTGGCCATGTCAATGTCATAGACCTTCACAGACTATTTGATCTGGTGCTTGTTGCCTTGACATCTACAATGAACGTAAGTGTGTTGTCGTCTATCCTCATTGTGGACTCAGTGGTCAGGGGGAACTTGATGATGTTATAGTGATCAAGCTTATTTCTCCTGGGGGTGCTCTTGTAGTCCAGAGCCCAGCCCTATAACTCATACATAAGTATAAATCTTTTCCACGATCTCCCTCATCCTTCACTCACCACCCTAGTCAATCCTTATACTCTCTAAGAAGTCTCAAAAACATGACTTCTTTCTCACCTTTTTCAGTGAAACAAACCTTGGAGACTTTTGCCATTGTCACCCTTTTGCTTTAAAAACAAGTTTATCTGGTATAAACTGGTTTTTATATATTCACTTTTGGCATTTTCAAGTTAAGGCTTATCTTTTAGATATGCTATCTGGAGCAGATATCTGAAGTCTGGAATGACTTTCTTTTTTTTTTTTTTTTTTTTTTTTAAAGATTTATTTATTTGTACAAGAACCAGAGTACAGGCCAGATGTGTGGGAGGGTGAGAGGATTCACCAGAGACAGAGAGAGGGACAGAACAGGCAGACTGAAGAAATACACTGCTGAGGGGAGCAGAGGGTGAAACAGGAGAGGTCTGCTGCGCTATGTGGGACCCTCGCCGGCAGGCAGGGAATCGAACCAGCACTGCAGAGGTTGCAGACAGCTTCACAGTGCTGCGCTCAACCACCTATGCCACCAGGGGAGGCCCTGGAATGACTTTCTTTGCTAGAGCAAAGTATGCCCCTAACCATCTTTCTTCCCACTTTCAGTTGGTCAGAGCAGATGAAATGGAAACAAGTTGGTCATCATCAAAACTAAATAGTCAATAATTTGGACTGAAAGTTAGGTCTTCCCAAGATGTTTAGAATAAACCTCCAAGGTGTTTGGAAAATGACCCCCTAAAATGTTGAGAACAGGCCTTCCTAAGATGTGTCACTTTGGAAAGTGGATTATTTTGAGCTGAGGCCAAAGACCTGCAGTCTCGCAGAAATTTTATCATTCCCCTAATTATTTAGAAGAATGAAAACTGGGTTATTACCCAGAATTAGAGTTTTACCAGGAATAAACTTTCTCTCAGAGAAACCTACCTATGTGGGAGGCAACCATCTTAATTACAGAGCTTCTAGTCTTGGTCATATGAGTTACACTCTTCTCATCAGGAGACCCTCCCCCACACTTGAAGCCTCAGACTCCTATCCTATTCCTTAGCTTAGGAAATATAATCCCTATTTTGTTTCATGGCCTTTGGAATCCACATCTGTGTAAACTCCTCAATGAATTTAATTAAATTTGTTCTGTTCTTCCATTTGCCTGATGTTAATTTGATTTCTCTACCAACTTGAGATGAAGGGTAGGTCCTCTCTGACAGATTTAAATCTGCAGAGACTGCAAAATAGTTTATTGCATTCTAAAAGTAAAGTATAAATTATTTTGCATCCATTGTTGTTTTGCCATTGATTTTATAATGGGCTGTAAAAACCGAGTTTATGACACAATCTTATGAAACTCCTATAGTTCGTGGTTGATTTTTCTGCCATCAGCTAAGTCAGCTACTTCAGCCAAATCTATTTTAACAGAAAAAAAAGTCACTGTAGGTGAAGTACCCAAATATCTCTTTCAAAACATGGTGGTGGTGTTAGGGGGAAAGGATGTCCTGAGATAATCTCATACAGGCTTTGTGGACTCCACCCCCACTCCAGACTAAAGCCATCAGGACATTGGGAAAGACAAATCCCATCACCACCAAGGGGAGGGTGGCTGGGACCTGAGGGTGGAGTTGGGCAGCCAGGTTGGATATAAAAACCAAACACGTGGGCC